CATTATAAAATAACAGGTCGAAGATCTCATCACATTTGGTTACATCAAATGTATACATCTTTGTAAGAAACTTCTCATTCCTACTAGGTTCAACATGGCTTTTCCGTTAGAAGGACTTAAAACCTTACAAACATACAGAGGCCATGGCTTTATTTTTTTCAAATTAACCTCATTTTCTTCGGCGCATTTAAAGACTATGTCAATTTCTTACTCATTTTCATCTTCTTCTACATAAGCGACTTTTTACTTCTTAGAGTGTCAATTTGATCTGGCCTTCTCAGCTTTCAACTATTCGACCTATCAAACTCGGTCTACTAATTGGGCCATATCTCTCAGATATTGGGTATCTAATTTCTTCCTAATGGAATATTTTAGGCCACTCGCGATCATTTCGACTAACTCATGTTTAGGCACTTGAGTAAAATATCTCGACTTCATTAGCCTAAACCTATTCAGATAGTTAACTATGGACTCATATAATTTTCTCTTTATACTGGATAATTTTTTAGATTAATTTTCGACTGACCCATATAAAACTGGTCATGGAACACCATTTCTAGTTGGTTCTAATTACATATGGAGTTTGGATGGAGGGTCGTGAACCATGTGAAAGCATTTTTATCAGAGAATTAGAGGAATATTTCATCTTTAAATTCTCATTATTTGCTAAATATCCAGCCTTAGTATGGTATTGAGCAATGTGTTCGATAATAGATTCACTAGTGTTACCTACAAACTTAGTAAATTAGGGAATCTTCCAACTGCTAGGGAGTTTAGTTTTCAATACATACTCAGATAATATAGAGAAAAATTTTGGCCTATGAATGTCGACATTAAGACCATTTTGGACTAATATTTTCTGGACCATATTGGCTAAGTTGTTTTTTCCCCCAAAATTATTTTGTTGTACATTCCTAACTACTTGTTTTACATCTTGGTTTTATTGACCAGTACTACTTCTAGGGCATCTTGACCTAAGTCTCATTCGGGCACCCTGGGTATGGGTTGTTTGACATGTTGAGGCATAACCTATTATTGCACTTGATTATTAAGAAATTCATTTGCAACTCCTGGGTTTTGAATTTCCCTACCTGCTTGGACTTGAGGGATTGGTTGAACAGGAGCTTGAGGAGAACCAATGAAATCAACAATTCGACCCATTTGATGCGACAATTATTGGTAAGTATGGTTTGTATTTTAGATCAAAGGATTAAATATAGCACCAATTTATGGGTTTAATATATCGACCATATCATGGTTACTTCAATTCATTTGTTTGCTCACAAACATGAGGGAATTAGTGGTTAGGGGTGACATAACTAGATGATTAGTCTGTAGGCCTTCCATCATTGCAGTTGGCATGCCATAAGGGTATTCCCTACTACCAGGGGGTAACATGAAACTTGGAAGAAAATAATGCCTATGATCTCCTATAACAGTTTGCGTGACCCTAGGAGTAGTTGGAATACTCGTTACTTACGGTAAGGGAACCACTACCTCTAGTAAGTTGTTGAAACTAACATTTGGCTTATCACATAAGTGGTTACTCCAACAGAGGTTGAAGTTCCTGCACCACCAACCGTTGTTTCGATTGGTTGTTCTTCTGTATCTAGAGCACCATTCTGGGGAAGGGAAGAATATTTCGGTCATGCCATCTCAACAAGAGTTTTACCACTCCTTAGATGCATACACACTCAGACATTGAAAACATCAAATATATGAATAACTGAATAAAATAATAAAACACAAACAACTTTTCTGCAAAAGTTTACTTTTTTTGCACCAAAAAGACCCACTGGGCACGCCTATTTGTTTGTTGGTATTGTTAGCAAATCAAATCACAAGTTTTTGTTCACTTAAGGGAATAAACTCAAAAAAATCTTATGGAAAAGTTTTGCAAAAGATTTTGATACAATGTGTTTGTGTTTAAATATTAATATTTGAATGTGGAGAAATTGGATAAGAGTTCCAATGTGAACAATACAAAATTGTTCAAAGATATAAAATAAATAAAGAAAAATAATCAAATAATCAAATAAAATGCTTGGATTGAAAACTTAATAATAGAGACGCGAATTCATACATGTTTCCTCACAATCTCTTTTCTCTTTATGACTTGGATACTTGAGTTCTATAGATACTACTAATAAAACTTGTGAACCATTGTTACATGAATGAAATATGATTATATAATAAATACATCATCAACTATCGATAACAATTACTTCTCCAGTGTTTGACACATATCTTATTATGTGTGCTTCTACTTTCTGATATGTTTCCACGTGTCTTTGGTCTTTGAAATATCTATAAACTACTGATATTATTGAAATCATCTTTACAAACTCTAACTACCATGTCGAGGAGTTTTTCTGTCAAACCTCGTAGTAGTGGCAAAATGTATATAGATCACCTAGTCTTTGACCTAAAAAAAATGCTAAGTCCCGAAACACTTGACAGGAAAGTCGAACTAACCACATATACATCACCCTTTATATCAAAATGTTAACCCATTGTAAACCTTTTTTTTTTATTCAGGACATGTTTTGAAGAGAGAGACAGAGAGAGAGAGAGTGATCCTAATCTTGTGAATTTTTTCCTGAGAATCTTCCAAACCAGTCTTAGTGGGTTTTAATACAATGTTGAAAATCACAGGCTAACACCTCTCAAATTGAGTGCATATAGGTGAGACGAGAGACATGTTGAGTGCTTGTATGTTCGGAAAAAAATTTCTGAGTTAATTGGATTGAAGCAGGGAATGTAAGTGTTGATCATCAAAATAAGAAAGGTGATATTTATTTGTAAGGGTAAGTACTTTAGTTCTGATGAAATGTTAGTGTGTAGACAGGTTACTTGAGGACAAGCAATAAAGTAAGTTTAGAGTTGTGATGACAGTCGTCATTATATGATTTTTATTAGTAAATTCTGATGAAAATATTGAAATAATGAGAAAAATGTATGCCAAAGTGTGAATAATGGAGAAAAAACTACTAAGATTGGAAAATATGGGACTTAGAAATATTTTGGAGAAGAAGAGAAGAAAAAGAAGCTATGGCCCCTTGAATTCACGTGTGCGTGATGCAGGCCATCATGGTGCGATGCAGGTCTCGTCGTGGCACGATGAAGGCCATCAGAGCATGATGTTGCTCCACTCTGACACGTAGAAGTTGCTATAAATAGTTTTTTTGTAATTTTTAGGGGTTTCGGATTTTTACACAGAAAGTGACGACTTGGAATACCAAAGTGACAATTTTGAAGGTTTTGGAAGCCATTTAAGACCTTTATCTTCTTTGATTTTCATGTTATCTCGATCTAAACTCATGGTATTTGTTATATTCACTATGAGTAGTTATATTCTGTAGATTAGGTCTTTTTAGACAAACATACTTGTACTTGTTAGATCATATAGTTGTTTGATGTTAATCGAAATATTTTAGTTATTGTTATTATTTATGTGTCCTTGTGTTCATTGCTTTTCATGTATTAAATGTATGAATTGATATCAAAAGAGTACAAAATTCTTACCGTTCGTCTACCGATTAGATCTAGAGAAAATATTCAACTTTGTAATTAAGTGGGGATAGGTAACTAGAAGCTGTGACTTTTGAATTAATGAACATATAACGCCTAATATAACTCTGAATTGGCCTAAGGAATTAGAGATTTATTGTGTAGATTAATGAGTTGTACACTAAGGAATTGGGTGTAGTGACCTTGTTTATTCTTTATAATACTTTAACAAATTATAAATTTGATTAGTGCACAGTTCATCAACCACTGTGAGTAGTAGGGGAGTCAAAGAAAAGATCTAATCTCCTTTAGTCATTGAATTTTATTTTAAGAAATTTCTGATTTTATTTGTGAACCAAAATAACTTAAAAAACCCCTCAATTGTTATTTACTTTAATTTGCACAAAGTTACCTTATTAAAATTTGCAATCCCTATAAAAATGAATTTTATTTATTACTTCGATGATACTAATACACTTACTAAAATTGTCCATCAGATAGACTAGAACTATATACTTTATGCTCACACACATTTTTAGATATGCAAACACCTTCGCTGACAAGATTGTCAATATTAGTTTATCCTTGTTATAATTCACTTGCTAGAACACGCTGCCTATTACTATCAAAGAAGTTTAGGTTTTACTAATCTTTCTTTGTTCTTTGTTTTTCTTTGGGTCGTGCCTAGCCCCCTTTTCTTTGTTCTTTTTTTTTCTTTCTAATATACAAGGCTTATAAAAATTAATGACAACATTGAAATTAAAATTAACAATAATTCAACTTTTCTAAAAAATGAAAAGAATGAATTTGTGAGCAAACTCACATCCATCACACAAATAATTAATTGTTTAAAATTGCAAAATACCTACAAATATGATAAATTTTAAGTGAACGAAAATCCATATATCTAGATTTGTCATTTATCTATATTATTTTATTTATAATTTTTCTCTTTACTTAATCAAGTAAAAATTTTTGCTTATTTTTTTATTTATAATATTTATAGAAGTGTTACCGTCATCATGTTTTCTTCTGTTTGAGACAAATTGTGAACGGCACATCAAACTAGTGGTCTCTTCCGTTTCTAGTTTTTTTTCTTAAAAAAAACATAAATGTTTGTTTGTAGTTCACAATTGTTTGTTTTCTTATTTTGTCATTTTTTTCGTTTTTGTTATACCCATCCTATGAACAAGATTGAAGATGATTCCAAGAAAACATGCATGAGAAATCCCCATGATAATTAACCGATAATTACACAACAAAACAAACATCAAGCTCACACATTGCATTACAAACCCAATATTTCCACTCTCAACCACCTAATTAACAATATCATTGTTATTCAATTTGTTTCTTTCTATTTTTTGTATTTAAATATTTATATTATGTCACATTCACAACCCTTATTATTGTTAACTCAAATCTTCAATAATTCTCTTTACCTTTCTCATTTGATTTCTTCTTGATTCCTTGTACTTATTATATACATCATGGGTTGTGGCCTCTCAACCATGAATGGAAATGATACATCCCCGGATCGACACCATTTCAAGGGTCGATTTCGCCATCAAAATATCATTGATTCACCCATTGTGAACCACAATGACAACAAATTTAATTATGATATTATTGACAATGATGGCGGAAATCAAGAAGCAACGAGGAAGGAGGAAGGGTTGAATGTGGAGAGATTGAAAGAGAAAAACATTGTGGAAGATAGAAGAAATCAAGAGGAAAGGAATGAAAAGAATGTGTTTGTTAATAAAGAGAGACAAGGAAAATTAGAGGAAAATGCTAGCAATAATAAAAAAGATGTTGGAGCAAATTGTAAAGAGGAGGAGAATAACAATAATAGGGAAAATTGGTTTATTGGACCTGGATCACCAAGTTTTAGAGAATATTGTAATGATTATGATTCTGTGAATAGAATTCCTATGGGAGATTCTAATGATTATTTTCAATCTGGAGAAAGCGCAAAGAATAGTAGTGAGTAATGTGATTGCTATCATGTGTTTTTTAAATTGTATTTTTCTCTTGTTTATTTTCATGGTTAATCATGTTAATTTGTTTAAGTTATGATGATTCAAAAAATATATTGGTAATAGTTTTTTAATTAGATACTTCTGATTTATATAAGTTTGTCAATGAATCTAATATATGATTCATTTTCTAGGTGATGAAGATTCAACAAAACCCGGAAATGATTATTCAAAAAAGGTATGATCATGTGTTCCTTTCCCAACCATGTTTGTTTAATTTTGGCTCATAATTTATTAAAAATATTAATTTTACAAATACGACCTTGAATTAAAAGTTATTTTCGAGTTGTTCATGTGTACACTTTTTTTAGAAACAATCAACAATTACAACTATGTAAATGGATATTTAACATTTACTTCTGTTTAAAAAAACATATTATATATCCAATTAAATCTATTAGATAAAGTATAAATCATTTTTAAAATTTCTAAAAATTTATATATATGATCTATTTGATAAAAACTCTGAATGCGAGTGTTAAAATTGATGAAATTTAATATTTATAAATGAGTTTTTAAGTAGGGTAACTTAATGTAAAGTTACTCTAGAAATAAACTAATACTTATATATTTAAACTATGTAGGGTAACTTAATGTAAAGTTACTCTAAATTTGTTAAACTATGTTCTAATATATTCTTTTAGCAGGAAAGACAGAAGAAAGAGAGAAGAGAACGAGGGGGATTTAGGAATGCTTTGCACAGAGGAAAGTGAAGAGAAGGGAAGAAAAATATTTTAAATTTTACTTGCTATAACCCTAACACTCAGTCCTATGTGGAAGATTCATTCAACAAATTTGTAGAAAAACCTACATGAAATTAAGAGATCTTTGCCTGATTTGGACACTTCAATTTGGTTACAGATTAGGTATAGAAGAAAAACACAATTATTATTGATTTATATATAAAAGATTGAATGGAATTTTGAATTTATTGTCAAAACCAAATCATGATATGTATATATAATTTTTGTAAACTATGATTGTCTTTTACTATATTCTAACTTTCATAATTTTGTATTTACTTTATGTGTTTATCTTCTTATAGTTTAAGGGTTAAACAAACAGTCAGCTAATTGTGATTTTACGACATACATTTATGCTGATATAATAGATTTTAGTACAACTAGTGTATATGAAATATTTTTTTCTATAAAGAAAAAACAAACCTCAATATTTATTAAAAATCACGTATCATCCCATATAATATACATCTAACAAATACATTATACGTAATACTAATTGATACTATTATAACACAAATGTTTAATAGCATCATTATATATACATATCCAGAAAGAAAATATACAACTACGACACATGATATATAGGAGTGTCTAATCAAAAATTAAGATCTATGTACAATATTCACATTGTGCATAATCCGCAACAGAAGATTCACATTGCACATATTCACCAAATTCTCATATCATCACAACATGTTTCATACAGTGTCTATTGATTCACAATTGAAGTGACTACTCGTCCATAATACACACCGACCTTTGTGTCCAGACATCAATATCTAAATAGTATTTATACCCTAAGTCTTTGTTACTAGTTCATTCACCTTGTTATTAGCCTAATTTCACCTCATCTTCATCATAGTTAATTCATTATTGAACATTTGAGGCAAACAAAGATCCATAATATAATTCACAACATAAGCATAATAATTTATCATCATTCATTGAGCATTATTTAACATCAGAACATATCATGAAATCAACCATAAATAGAAAATATGCACACAAGTGTTACTCTATTTAACCATGTGATATCTCTTGAAATGAGCTTTCCAACGCATCTGGCCGTGTCTCATTCCGACTTATGAAACTCAAGATACGTCCTTTTTTATGGGTCATCAAGAGGGTGGAGCATTCACATTGAGTCAAACACTCATCTAAAGGTCAAAGGCCCATCCAAACAAGTGAGAGAGACACCACATATTCACTCAAAACCTTAAGGTGATAGTTGTATGAATTCTCTTACTTGTAAAGTGAAAAACCTCCACTTTTTTACGCAATGTGGAACATAAAACTTACATTTGTTTCTCAACACAAATCATACTTGTTTCTCAACAATTTTCAATGTTGCTAGAATTCTCATGACATTAGATCTCACTAGGCGAGAATCTCCCTCTCTCAGCGAGATGGACAACATAAAAACTACAAAATCTCACTTTAAAACACCTATTATTCAACCTTTAACCATTCAAACCATGCCCAATCATGACATAACATACTCATGTATTTAAGCATTATTTTAGGACACATATGTACAGTTCGTCATCATTAATCGACTAATATGTGGGATTCAAGTATGGATTACTCTCACCAAAAGGTACGACATTGGACTAGCTTCCAACGTATCTAACTTCAGGTTAATTAGAGATATGATTATTGTTTTATGGTGGAAACAAGGAAACAAATAACTTTTTCAAAATAAAGCATTCTGACTTAGCGAGACTCAGTGAGCCTCCCAACGAGCTATCGCTCAGTGAGCCTCAAGTAACCTCCCAGCGAGACCAAACAAAAAGTCCAAAGCTAGAGAATTCATCTTCCTCGCTTAGAGAGCTTCAAGAGAGACCTCGCTTAGCAAGACAATCCTCTCATATAACGAGAACAACACAACATCACATTCCTACAACATGAACTCTCGCCTAGCGAGGATGACAAGTCAGAATCTGTGAAGAAATGCAATTGGAAGGGAAAAGAAGCAATCACAACAATATATAACAGTTTGTTAACCCAAAACAATATCAAATAACATGGATTATCACAAACAAGCATACAAGAAATAAATATCAACACTAATTTTCACGATCATAACAAAATACACAAGACCCTAATTTTCTCGTCTCATGCAATTTCTCCCCCAAAGACTAAACCACTTAGAACCTACCTTAAGAAATATGATTAATGAAGAAACTAAGTGGATTGACTTCTTGATCAAGCTTTTCCTCTTCTCCAAGTTTTCTTCTTGTTCCTCCAAGCTTTCTATCTTTCTCCTCTTTCTTCTATTCTTTTCTCTTCTTTTTCTTCTTTCCTTTTCTATTTCCTTATTAATAAAAATGGCATATGAAGGATAGATAAAGTGAAGAGAAAATATCTTGATTGGGATTTTGTCTCCTAGTAACAATTTACCATTTAACAATGTTACCAAAATAATCTTTATTTTACCAATTAGTAAAGATCAATTGAAATAAGAAATAATTAATCTCTTTTGAGTTCACTATTTACTCTATTTGTCCCAAATGACAACTAATAAAGCATTTAGGAACTCATTTTGTCACAAACAAGGAATCATCACATAAAATAATATGGAATATTACTTCACCCCTTAAATTGAAATTTGTCCTCGAATTTCTTCCAATTAAAAAAAGAAACACTTATTGTTTCACTGTATCAGGTCAACCATGACTTTGCTTAGGATCAATTTTCTAGCTTACTCGAACTTCTATCTTCTCTTATTGGAAACTTCATTCTTTTGTGACTTCTCAAAACTTATTGATCTAGTCATACTCTCATTCTCATCCTTCTTAGGATAACCAACACTCTCAAATTTGTGGGGTGTTAGCTATTAATTCCTTACCTACAAGAGATACCGATGACTTTTCTCTTATAAATTCTTCAAAAAATTGAGATACCTTAAAATCAAATTATTGCTATTGTTATTATACTTCACTTGGTCTAATATTGCATATTAAGTACGCTAACACCTAATGCCTCACTTCCTCCGCACTATTCTAAGAAGATATCACTTGCTTGGTGTGGAAGTATCTTACTCCCGTTCTCAGGAGCAAGCATCTCTCTTATCCTATATGAACCTTGTTGAGTTCTTCCATTCATCACTTTCCACTATGCTATTTTGACTCAAACAACGTGGAACACCTATCCTCTAGAGTGCCTACTACCCAAAGCAGTACTAGAACCTTATCGTCATCCACCGATAGAATAACATTCTTTCTGACACACAAAGGTTGAGAATATGACCAACACCCACCTAAAGATAGATATGCAGGACTCACACGATGATCAGTGGTTTTTATATTTTCTTTTACCGTGATTTTAGTTAATCATTTCATGTTTTTGTTTGCATTTTAATCATGTTTACCGTATGTTATGCGTGATAGTATTGTTTTTGTGTTTTTCAGGAGCAAAGAAGTCACTTAGCAAAAACTGGAAAAAAAAAAGCAAAGAATTGAAGAAGATTGCCCTTATTTCAGTGCCCTGCTACGGCCACCCGTAGCACATGCTACGACCCGTAGTTGGAAGATGCCCAAAGATGAAAAAGAAGTAAGAGTCAATAAGCTACTATGGGCACCCGTAGCATAGAATACAGGCAGTAGCAACTGCAGCTCCCTCAAGTGTTTTTAGAATACCAATTCTAATGGCCTGCTACGGGCACCCGTAGCAGGCAGGTGAGCAGAATTTTCTCTTTCCTTTTTGGGAGGAGATCTGAAATTGAATGAGATTTTTTAAAACTTTGGAAGGAATCTTTTTGGATATTTAGGTAGTGGTTGGCTAGGTTTTGACTTCTTCTGCTTTTTACGATAAAAAAATTAGAGAGAGATAGAATTAGAGAATTATGGAGAAGACAACGATTTTCATGATCCATCGCGATTGAGGATCAAAGTTTATCTATTCTTTTTGTAATGTTCATACTCTTTTCTATATGTTATTTTATTTCTATGAGTAGATAAACCCCTCAATGTTATGGGGATGTCCCTGATTCAGACTTGTAATGATTTTGATTTCTATATGCAATAACAATTTTGTTTCATCATAATCGATTTATTCTCGTGACTGCTTATAATGCTTTCTTTGTCGGTCAAATGGAGTTTGATGTTTGTGTTACAATTAGGATGGACCGCCATTGTGCACGATTTGCTAGAGAATATGTTTTAGTAGACATTGCCTAGGACTAGGGATACCCGATAATAACTGGATGATTCTTGATTTATTAATACTTATTTTCAACCATGAATTTTCTAAGGTCATAGGCATGAGGTTGAATGAATAACGGTTTTCTCAATAAGGACTTATGAGTAAACACTCTTAAGAAGCGGTAATCTATTAGTTGAAATATGTCGCTACATCGTGAGTTCTGAATGATTACATAATTGAATCATAAACCATCCCTAGCATATTCCTCATGTTTTAACCCTTACAATATTTTCTTTATTCTATTCGCAAATATTATTATAATTAAACAAAACCATTCCAAACCCCTAAAAGGCTTTTGTTTGATTGAACAAAGATTTAAACTCGATATTCATACGCAGTCCTTGAGATCGACATTCGAGGGACTTCCTTTATTATTACTACAATGGCGAAATAATACACTTACTATTTTTCCAATCAAGCTTTTGGCGCTGTTACCGGGGACTGCCAAAATATAGAGTTTGATTTAAGTTCAATTAAAATTTTGTTGCTTTGCGACTAAAATTTTATTTTCTGTTTATTTTTATTTTTTTTATTATTACTAATCTTTGTATGCAAGGAAAGACCTCAGCTGAATTTCCTTTTAACGTAGAACCAGAGCGATCTTTGTACGCGAGGCTTAGAAAAGCTAAATAAGCAAGACTGGCAGCCTCATAAACAGAAACTTCAGTTTTTGAACCCGAAAGAGAGGGAGAAGTATCTGATTATTCTGATACAGAGTCAGACAAAGAAACCATCATGTATGAATTGCAAGAGAGGCTTCTTGGGGA